TCATTCTCGGCGGGCATGCCGTGGACGTGCCGCATGGAGGCCCTCCAAGCACGGAGTTCTGCGTCAAACGGGGATTGAGCCGCTTGACATCTGGCCTGGGCACGAACTCCCTCGTAATGGGCGCTCACAACCGGGTCGTCAATTCAATATCTTCGAGTGTGGTGGCCTCCTGAAAGGGTCGATTCTCTGTGGGGACCCCGGGATGGTCTGCCCCCCCCTCGCTGTAGGTGTATTGTTGCCCTTGCTGGTAGTTCATTTCGGGGGGGGGGGGGGGGGGAACAAACACGGACAGGGTCGAGGTGCACCATGAAGGACCCCAGACAGGTAATAGACTCGGTCGAAAGACCCCAGATAGATTGGCCCCTGGAAGGGGGGGGGGGGGTCTTGATCGCAGTGAAGAATGAAAGAAAGGAAGAAAGAAACTCGCAGAATTCGCGAAGTCGGGGAAGGACGGGAGCTGCACATCCCGGACGAGGTAAACACTTCGCCAACATCGCAGAATTACGACCGTCCGCTCTCTCGGCCAGCGCTGGCGCTTCCGTCGCGATTGGCAGCGCTGGCGCAACCGCGATGCGGCTTCTCTTCGCCTGTTTGCTCCTCGCAAACGCCCACCCTGCGCTCGCGATGCAGATCTTCGTCAAGACGCTGACCGGCAAGACCATCACGCTCGAGGTCGAGCCATCCAACAACATCGAGAACGTCAAGGCCAAGATCCAGGACAAGGAGGGCATCCCGCCCGAGCAGCAGCGGCTCATCTTTGCGGGCAAGCAGCTCGAGGACGGCCGCACCCTGTCGGACTACAACATCCAGAAGGAGTCGACCCTCCACCTCGTCCTCCGCCTCCGCGGGGGAGGGCTCGTTGAGACTGCGGACGAGACCGCGTTGGCCCGCGCGCGGAAGGCGTCCAAGGCAGGAGCGGCGGCCCTGGTCACGCTGGGCCTCTTTCTGACTTACCAGCGCCTCGATATGACTGGGTTCGGCGCCGATGGTCGAGCCATCGTTGTCGAGGTCCCCGCGGAAAAGGCGACGAAGCGGATCAACGTCCAGGCGGCCATGTCCACGAAACCATCCACGCTGCGGCTCATGTCCGACCTGAAGACCATGAAACAGCAACCCCCGGAGGGCGTCAGCGCCAGCCCTCTATCCGACGAGAACCTCTTCGTCTGGGGCGGCACCGTCTTTGGGCCTGACGACACGCCGTGGGAGGGGGGGATTTTCTCCATGCGGCTGACGTTCACGGAGCAGTACCCCGACAAGCCGCCGCGCGTGCGCTTCACTTCGGAGATGGTACGTCCCTGCCCCCCGGCCCAGGGCCCTTATGGCGATGCTGACTCGGTATCCTGCCGCTCTGTGCAGTTCCACCCCAACATCTACCCGGATGGTACTCTCTGCATGGACCTCATCCAGGACAACTGGTCGCCGATCTACTCCGTGAGCTCCATTTTTATAGCCATCCGGTCGCTGCTCACAGATCCCAACTGCGCGAACCCTGCCAATCCGGAGGCAGCGCATTTGTATCAGACGGACAAAAAGGCCTACAATCGCAAGGTGCGCCGCGTTGCTGAGAAGTCCACGGGATGATGCTCGCGTGGGCGGCCGAGGCACCGCGTAGATGCGGAGAGCCGAATACTTTGTACTGTGCCGTCTCCAGGGCGTACTCGCGAGGAGTGAGTGGCTGCCCACATGTGTATAGTGGTTGTACAAGTGCTCGGGTGTGCGGTCGTTGTGTGGATGGGGGAGGGGAAAGGGGAACGACTGACTGACGACTGAACTCCCGGCTTGCTCACCTGATCGTCCTTCCAAAATCCTGCTCGTGCAGGTGGGGACCCTGTCCTCGTCCCATCCCTCGTTTGGCGTGTCTGTTTTCTTTCTTTCTTTTTAGCTGATCCAGCATGGGCCGTAGGCCAGAAACCCGCACCTCATTAGGCTTCCCTGAGCGCGGTCGGTTGCCGTCTCAAAAAAGAAGCACGCCGCCAATCAGTTATGCCGCGCTACCGCGGCGCGGGGCCGGGGCCTGTGGTGGCTGATAAAAATGTCGCGCATACAGATAAAACAAACATGTCGTGTGAGTGAGTATTCTTGATACGAAACCACGACGACACACACCAGTCGACTCGCATCGGTTGCCTCCACGAACGGCGGAGCTATTCTCGCGTCCACACCACACCTGGCTCCAACGTGGACACACGCCCATAGCTGGGGACACTACTAGGTCACGCATGGCATCACAGAAGTTTTATCTCTGGGCCCCGAAAGGCATCTCTAGCAGCGTCGTTACGCATGCCCCCTCCCCTCCTGGGCGCATGCGCCTAGTCCGAGCCTGGCTGTTTGTCGCACCGCCACCACACTCTCGGGAGGGGGCGGCGGCGGAGGCGGAGAGGCTGCGGCGGGTGACGACGCGGCGACGGCGCTGAGGGGGCGGCGACCGCGGCGCGACGGGAGGCGGTGCAGCTGCAGCGGCTGCCGCCGCCTCGGCTCGACTGCAGCTGATGGCTAAGCTTCCCTCCCCTCCCTCCCCTCCTCCCCGCCCGCCCGCCCGATCCGCCCCCCTCGCCCGGCGTGGATCTCAAGAAAAAGAAGGCAGACCCCCATCATGGGGGGAACGAGAGCACCGTGGAGAGGCGTGCCGCGCCCTGCCGCGCCCGCCGCCCAGCGCGAGGGCCGGGGCCCCG